GAGGACAAAAGGTCGATGTCGTTTACTATTGCAGCCGCTGCTCGTCAAAGAGGCAGCTGACACAGAGCCAGCCGCGGGGGCACCTGCTACGCGCGATGCCCATACATGTATGATGTCACAGGATACCAAGGGCATCAGCTTCTCCATCAAAGAGGATACGTTCGCTTCTGCGATCCAGCCTTTGGCGAATAACACCTCGAAGACTTGGCATCGCAGGAATGCGTCCTGCGGGGCTGTTCCCACACCGGCCGACCAGGACTTCGCCATGCGAAGCTTGCAGGCAAAAGTCTTTCAGGCCATTTACGAGGAGGGCACTAAGTGGATGCCGCCCGACGCGAAGGCAGGGACACATGCGGAAAGGGGGTGATGCCGCTGAGAAGTTTGATATTTTTACTTCGAGCAGCGGCTCTGCAGCGCAGCATGGCACGGGCATTTGGACGCCTCCACCGCTTGAAAATGAGTGACGGGGGCAGGCGCGTGCCACGGCCACCCGCGCTTGCTCCGACAGGCCGAACACGCAGGTTCTGCCATCTAGCGCGGGGGAACTTGCATTATTTTCCCAGGCGCCGGCTGCGCGCGCCAGGGAAATTGGCAAGCCAGGCTGCGCGGCTGCCAAGGGCAGCAGTGGACCCGGCTGCGCGGCCGCTGCAGCGAATGAACGCCCATCGCATCAGTATCATTCTCGTGCACTTGTCATTGAAGACACACGGACAGCTTGCGCTGAACTCCGAGCTCGTGGTTACATGTGTGACCGCATTACACATGCAGAGGTTATGACTTCCATTGGTACACAGTATTTGGGTGCTCTACTTTCGGGAGTTATCAATTGTTGTGGGTGGCAACGCCCGCTGACTGGCACGTTAGGATGCCTGGAAAGCGGGCAGGGCCACATCATCAACGCATCCACAATTTGATGACTAAGGCTCGGGCTCTACGCATGTCTACTGTACTAGTGGGACCACCAGGTTACTTATGGAAACAGGGGCCCATGCGAGATGCCATTGAAGATCTCGACTTGCAGGCCATGCGTATGCGATGCTGCCATTTCGGTCTGAAATACGACCGTTCAAGTAAGTTGCCTAGCGGATCAGATCTGCAAGTGGCAACTACTTACACGCGCATTCCAAGCATTTTGTGGAGATGTACGTATCAACCTGCAGGGAAACCTGCCCAACTTGCGAAGCATGAATTGGACTGGCATGGACAAGGCGCTCAGAAGGCAGAATGGTGCCACAAAACATTGGCTATCATGACCGCGAGATGATCAGACGTATCTACACAAAACAAAGAGAAACCACACGAGCGCTGTGCACCTTAGCATTCACACACGAGTGGATAATGGAGCTCGAACTTACGCTCAGTCTCAGAAGAATGGCCGTGAATGGGACCATGTCGTAAGACGAGTAACGATGAACTTGGGCGATAATCACATTGACAATACATCAAGATCCAGGACCAACCTATCGGGTACAATGACAATGCGCCGTTACCGAATGGTGCAAAAACATCCCTACTCGGTTATACTGGGTGCCGCCAGATACGGCTCTCATCGGACAGGAGGATCCACGTCCACGCCCATGGCGAGTGGCGTTCGTCGATGACGATCCTCTCCCCCCCCTTCGATTGAGCGCGGCCGCCGCGCACTCCCCTCTACCCCCGAATTTCCGACGCTAAGTTCACCTGACATTGAACAACGGACAGCACTACCGACCGATGCCCGAATCAAACAAAAGAACAACTGAAAGCCGACACAGAAGCGGGCATCAAGCCGCGCAAGATACCCAAGGTAGTCGAAGAAGGCAACGACGACTGCGGGGATGACTTTAAGGGTCTCGGATGTAGCGCGCGCTACACCGACGCCCCCCTTGACTCCGACACGGAAAGTGATGTTGAAGAGGAAACTTTCATCGCATCACTTGCGGGGCCATTTGCTAAATCCTACGCCGATGTATTCTCATAATCCCAACGTTATGCTCTGGACGACACAACAAGGTTGACATGTTGAAGTTGCGTGGAGGAAGTGGAGGCATATCGCAGCTAGCATTCAGCCGGGGTTTGTCTTCTGGGGGACATTTAAACAAACGCTCCTATGTTGATCTTGGAAACAAGGATGTCCAGACTGCAGTGATGCACTACCTAGACGCTTGCTTCGTCAACGTTGTCATACTACAACCCAAACTGCAGAACGACTGGACTACCTTCATATTTCCATTCCCAAGTCAACTTAGGTACTTGGCATGAACACCACAAAGAAGATCTTCCACATGTGAAGTTCTGTGGTAAGGTTACCATACGCCAGAACGATCTTCGACGGCTTTATTTACGAGAACAACCAGTGGGTACTTGGGTGGACCAGATACCACCATGTACCACATTGGCCAAAGTCAAGGGCACTTGCAAGGTGAATACAGAGCAATGTACTACCGGCATACGTGGTCCCCATGGGGTATCGATACGAAAGCCGACAGATCATGGCCAACCCCCGCCTTCTACTACACCTTTACGACGTGCTGGGCATCATCAACATGCGTCGGTATGTAACAAAGAACTGTCCATGGTTGCACATTATCCTTCAATGCTGCAGTCTAGTTTTGTCGACGCAGTTCAGATCGCGCACGATCTTTTCCTGGTAAACCGTGATCCTTTTCATGGTCACCCTTATTCATCCACCGTGCGCGAGCAGCCACGACATTACAGTAGGCAGACATGCTGCTGAACCTGCTGCAGGGCAACTTGCCTCGAGCGGAGCTGGGAGTTCGGATGGCCACATCCGACTGCCACAGGTCAGAGTCAGACGTGGCCGACAGCAAGGAGGAGATCCACCTCCACCGCCACCAGCGGGCAACCCTGCTGCACGACCACGACTTCCAGACTGGTCAAGGTTCGACGTACAAATCAGTCTTCAAAACTTACGAAGCAGTGACCCAAGCGTGGTAACACGCGAGCTGCGGAATCTACGCTTGCGCTGGTTCCATGCGAAAGAGCCATCTTAACCAAGATAGGTCTGGACACTGTCAGACTCAACCTCATGAAAGGTGTCTGCGACACATGTCGGGAGCGCAGGGTTTGGGACAAGCCTGGTCATACCGTTATGCCATCTACTGCACTGGCTGGCAGGTTCAACGAAGAAGTTGAATGTGACCTTATATTCTACAAACAAGGACATCAGAGATCTCATATCATCGATCGTTGTATTCGATATGCTACTGGAATGGAGATACCAGGCAAGACGATGACCAGTATCCTGGTTGCATACCATCAGTGATGGATGCAGTTTGGACATGCAAATGTTCTCTACTCCGATGGAGAGGGGGCCCTCAACAACGACACTGCGAAAGCAGTCCTTCAGGCAAGGGGCACTGAACCAAGGATACGTGCGCGTGGACAACACGCTACGACGATCGAAGCCAGAAATGACATATTGCGCCATCTACTTCATGTCATGGAACCTGAACTCAACAGGTTAGACATACCTCTCGTGTTCACACGACTACTGCATGAGGCCTTGATTGCCGCCAACGCGTTGACCTTGTATGGCGAGGTGTCTTCATGCAACGCCCTGTTTGGACGGCAACCGGCAAGGCACCCTGACTTGCGTATCCTGGATCACTAACAGCCGACGGAAACGCCGGATCATTCTCGTGAAGAGATGATACGCAAAGTACGCATTGAAGCTATCACACAGGCCACTGCAGCAGCCAAGGCCAATCGTACATTACGCACTAAGACAACTATCGCCGTTCAGCATTACTACGATGGAGGAGATTTTGTTGATTACCATCGCCCCACAACCACGAAGGGCGACTGGGGAGGCTGGAATGGCCCATCCCCAGTCGTAAGAAACGATCCCGAGAGGGGTCAAGTCATCATTCGAGTGGGAAACCGCGACGTTCAGGCACAATACGGCGATGCACGACATTCGCTCTATATTGAAGCTTTGCTCGCCGGAGAAATTGGCTCCTGCAGCGCTGCATTACGGACAGCGTTGACGTTCGTGGCCAGTTTACCTGCGGGGAGACCTGCTATGACATTCGGCTATGTCCCGACCAAGAAGGGGATGCTTCATATGACAAGTGCAAGCCGACGATCTCCTAAGGTACATCTGGCTTTTCCATACATCATCAGAAATTCTTTCCGCATTGAGAACGTAGTTTCGGTCAGGCTAGCCAAGGGCATCCATGAGCTACCTCCGGTTGCTTACGCTGACAGGTGCACATTGGTCCACTACGATAAAGGTGTGAATCCAGGATTCCACGATTATGAAGCAGAAGGCACCGCCCTTAACATTCACGATATGATTGAATTAGCACATTCAATCTGTCAAATTTGACTTAAAGCGTCGTGCTCCCTATCGGGCTGGCCAGACATCTCGTTCTGCAGCCGTTTTTCGGAGCATTCGTATGCACAGTATAGTGCAGGCAAGGCAACTTGCCTGCGGGGCCACCTTCCTTACAGCTCCGCCCTTTTGCTGTCCTTTTTGTAAATAGTCGCTGCTGTACCTGCTGTATAGCGGCGACAGATTCACGCCTCGTCTCCCTTCCCCCCCGACTCTAAAGTGAGCTGGGCGTTGCATGTGAGTGGGAACGAGCGTGCATCCGCGGCTGCTTGGCTCAAAGCGGTCGGCCGCCCAGATCTAACTACACCTCAGCGCGAGGTGTACCACTTGCCATCGATACCAAAACTACTTGGGATGGCTCGACCCCTACTACTGGGACTATCGCTATTACGGTACAACACAGCGGGAGCTAGGCTTCGCCTAAGGCGAAGCTGCTGGTTGGGCCTCCAAACCTTTTTCAACCGGGGACTTCCTGGAGCCCGCCAGGTGTCATCTGGTCGCCCAGCCACCGCCAGGCCCAAACCTCCGACGATTTGTTTTTTTCAGTCGCGGCAGCGTTTGCTGAAGTTCGGCATCCGGGCCCCGCTTTCGCGCCTGGGGGCAATCGAAAGCGGATCCGGGTTGCAGATTCGCCCCCAGGGAAGCGGTCGGGACCGCCTTCGTCATGGCAAAATCTCCAGGCATCCAGCGGTTCCCCGGCGAGGTCGAGGCGGTTGTGTTTCACGATGTGTTGCCGGGCTCCTGGGGACAAGTTTCGGGCCCCAGGACCGCCGACAACAACTCGAGGATGAGAAGCAGCTGTCTGTTGGGTTCGTCCTCCCCCTCCCTGCCGCGCCACCGCCTGCTCCCACCAGTCGGCACACTGCCGCGCCGCGCGCGTGGGCCTTTTCATGCCCCGGGAGATACCGAGCCGCTGGATGTCTGTGTCGAAACGGGCGGCCTGTTCTCCATGGGGGGACCATCTCTCGCGTGCCTGATGGCCCCAGAGCAATCCAGGGAGGAAAAAACACCCAGACCCAATAATTGGCGTTTACTAGACGGCCCTGGGCGTTGACTAGCAGCCCTTGTCCTGTGCGAAACCTTCTTTGGGCGCGTGCACTAAACGATTTCGCGTGTCGGGGTGGTTATTATGGGGGGGGACTTTTGACCTCGAGTAAAGAAACGGACCCCCGAGGCCGAGATAGAGGGACACCGGATTCGTTGCTCGCCTGGGGAGCGTCCGCTCGGTGGCGCGTGGTCCCCGGGCCCTGGGGGTGGCAACGAAACGACCGCGGCACAGGTTCGACAGCTGGTCCGACGTCTTCAAGACGTGCCGGGCGTCGTGCCACGTGCCAGGGATACACCTGTGCCCGTACCGGCACAACGGCCGCGGCTACTTCGACGGCATGGTCTGGAGCTCGCTGCTGGTGCCCTGGAGCTCAGAGGAGGAAGAGGTGCTTGCCGATACCGCTGCCCCTGCCCTGGGCGTCGCCTTCCTGCGGCCTCCCGGGAGGCCCTCGCCGCCACGGCCCGGTCCGCTTCACGATCCTGGCCAGCACGCGCCCCAGGAGAGCTCCCTGGGGAGCAGCGGCATCGGCATCCCAGAACACCACCACCGCGGAAACCACAACCGGGGCCCCAGGCCTCGTCCTTCCGCGGCCTTCTGCGAGCCGCATCGATCTGTGATGGCCCCCCGGGGGCCCGACGAGGGGCGAGAACACGCCCACCGCGAAGAAGCTGCAGGGCCCAGGTCTGAGGGCCGAGGGCTCCCCCCAGGAGCGGCAACGACCTGGAGCTCGTGGTCAAGGTCTCCGCCGTCTCCGCGCCGCTGGCGGACATCCGCGCGCCCCTCAGCCCGCCGTGGTGGATCGTGCTGCCCCCGGGCGTCGACGCCCTCCGGGGCCTCTTCTGGCTGGGCTACCGGGACGCGGCGCGCTTCTTCGCCATCCCGCCCCCCAGCTCGAAGAAGCACAAGCGGCACGGGCATACCCCAGACTTCGTAAATAAAGGGAGGGGGGTCTCATTTCGGGGGGGGTCTCTTCCAGGCCAGCTCGGAGGGCCTGGGGGGGTCTGGGGACGATGTTTTGGAGGGTTCTCCCACGGGGGGGGTCTGAAACGGCTTGTCTTGGAGGGTCCAGACCCCCTCCCTTTTATTACGAAGTCTGGCGTAGGCATACTCGAAGGTTCCGCGCGGCACAGGTCGGTGCCGGGCCCCCCATGGTGGCGCCGCCCCCGGCGCGCCCCGCGCGCCAGGAACGGGGCCAGCGCCGATCCAAGACAATCCGCGCGGGGCTCCGAAAGTTTATGTTTACGGTGGGGACGTTATTCAGAAACCTTCCGAAAAGCTGGGCCATCGTTCCTTGTCCAACTTGTCGGAAAGCTGGCCCAGTCTCCTGAGCACGTTCGCCCTCCAGCGTTAACAGCAGACCTTGACCCAGGCTTGTGTCGAGAAATTTCTGGGAGGCTGGCGCAGATGTCTTGGAGGATAGGCTTCTTCATCACATGTTCGGCGGCACAGTCGGGGCGCTGAAGAAGGAACTCTTTTCGTTGGGGAGGGGCTCGGTGTTCCTTGATTGTTTTACAGGTTGCCTTGGGTTTTCCTGAGGTTGTCCATGGGAAATCGAACTTTCACTTATAGGAAAAAGGGGCCCCGTTCCTTGTTTAGGGTTCCTTGGGTCAACGCCCCGACTGTATGCTGGTGCCGCTCTGTCCCTCTTCGACCCCAGCCCCTTCGAGCAGTGCAGGTGCCGGAACGCCGCCTCGGCGCCTCGGCGGGCCTCCCCCGAGGCGCAGGACAGCAGCAGCGGCGACGCCCCCGAGGTCAGGGGCAGTGCGTGGGGGGGGGGGGGGGGGCATCGATGGGGGCAACGGTACCCTCAGGGGGGATTTAGTGTGGACCCCCAATCACCTCCTCCTCCTCCTCCTCCTCCTCCTCCTCCTCCTCCTCCTCCTCCTCCTCCTCCTCCTCCTCCTCCTCCTCCTCCCCCCCTTTCCTGGCGCGCGGAGCGCCGCCAGGGAGCCGCAGCACCTGGTCTCTCGGCGGTGATCAGCACTGGCCCCAAAACCTAAAAAGCACTGGTCCGAATGATAGGGAGCTGTCAGGATCAAGTGTTTCAGTGACCCCCTAGGGTTCGGGGGGGGGAGAGGGAGGGCTTCGAGGTTCGAGGTTCGAGTTCCTTCGGCATCTTCCTCGGTGCTCGGCGGTTGTCCAGCCTCGGCGTCGCCTTCAAGCGGCTGCGCCTCGCCAGGAGCGCTCGGCGGGGCCCAGGATCGCTCCGAGCCGCCGCTGGACAGTCGAGTTCTGGTCCGAAAACCAGGGGGATAGGCTCGGGGGGGGGACGCATCGACCCCCGATCGCCCCTTCATCGCCGGGGAGGTCCCGACAGCCCGCTCCGCCAAGGAGCCCGCAGCTTCGCTATGATGGGGGCTTGTTGCCGATCTATCAGCGATGGATCTCCAATTCCTGCTCGACGCTTCTTCCTCCTCCTCCTCCTCCTCCTCCTCCTCCTCCTCCTCCTCCTCCTCGGGGCACGGCTTCGGCCAGCCAGGTGGACCCCCTGCTCAAGAGCCGCACGGCGAAGCACGACTTGGCGAGGACGCTGCTCGTCCGCGACGTGCCGCTGGGCCCCGAGGGGGTCCGGCTGCCGGAGCGGGACCCGGCGACGGGGCAGCCCGTCGAGGAGCTGATCCCCCGAGGGCCAAAAAACGGTGCAGACCTACACCTTAGGCGATGCTTAAGAAAACTTAAGTTTTTGGCCAGAGTCTCGATTATTCTTAACGTTTCAATGTAAATCTTAAGCTTTTAATAGGAACGTTGGGTTTTTATTCAAGTTCTGAGACTATGAATTTCTTAACCCATGATTTCTTAAGCATTTCGCAGGGTGTACGCCTTCGGAGGTCCGCGCGTGTTTTTTCTTGGACGGGAGCTGGCCCCCCGCTGGCGACGCGCCAGGGTAGGGGGGTCCAGCGCCGATCCCAAAGAACCGCGCGGAGCCCCGCAAGCTTGTGTTTGTGCGTTGTTCTGCTCCTCGATGATCGCCTGCTACCGGACAGCCGTCGCCCGGAGCCACAGGGTGGCGGCGTTGCTGGCCGCGGCCGCCGTGGTGGTGGCCGCAGCGCTCTCCGCTGCGTACTAGGGCGCGCCCTCGGCCTCACAGACCCCTGAAGCAGACCAAAAACTACCTGAAGGCACTCCTGCCCGAAGACGGCCTAGCAGTGTTATGTGTGGTCGTTTTCGGAATCGCAGGTCGGACTGATATGTGGCTATACCAAGTTTGGGGAAGTGTACTTTGCACTTTCCTAGAATGTGCTTCGTGCCGTATTCTTTCGATACATTCGCATACGATGGGGGCGTTCGTTGAGGAATGTGCCCAGGAGGTCTCTGGGGCTTCCGACCCTGGAGGGTTCCTTATCTGATGAGGGCGGCGGTGATACCCATGGCCAAGCCTAAATTGGTGTTCCAGCAGCTTCCAGTCCCTGGATTTCTTACGCAACGATTATTTACTCAATGCCCTTGCCGCGTTTCAGACGTAGGAAAATGTTGTTCGTGCGTTCCTACATGTTGTGTTCGCGAGTTGAGTGTTGCAGGTTCCGCATCGAACTCCTCTCACCCGGTGTTCTCTTCGTCCTCCTCCATTGTCCGTGGCCATTTTGGCTCAAGGCCAAAACCAAAATGATATTACATGAATTGCTTCAGCGGTGTAGGCTCCCATGCGAGCATCCAGTTGTTCCTTGGGTGGGTGAAAGTGGGGGTCGGCCGCAGGGTCCCGGCAATGATGTCTTTATGGGCCATGAATGGGCGATGCATCCTCGATTGCTGTGGTCGGCGGGGGAACTAATGGAAGCCCCCCGCTTGCACCCATGCGCGATACTTGAAAGGAAAGGAAGCAAGGGGGCGGGGGGCTCGGGAAAGGCGACGAAGGCAACGTGCGCTGAGGGCGCAGAAAGAAAAGGCTGGAACACACGAAAGCGGTCATGTGAGTGTCGAAGTCTGCCCAGCCAATCTGACATGCGGAACAAAACGCCTCAGTGTTGGGGATCTTGAAGGCCAGGGCAAAATGTGAATTCACATTGTGGGGGAAAGCAACATGCGAATTCACATTTTGGGAAAAAGGAAAATGTGAATTCACATTTTGGAACAAAGGAAAATGTGAATTCACATTTTGGAATTTTGTGTAGGATTCTTTATGAAAGGGGCCAGAATGTGAATTCACATTTGGGGAAAAAGGAAACTGTGAATTTACATTTTGGGAAAAAGGAAAATGTGAATTCACATTTTGGGAGAAAAGTGGGCCCCAATCCAAATCTGTCTTGGGGGTCGAGAAGTCATCGTTTGGGAACATACACGATCATCAATCGCACAATCAAGACATACTTGCACTCCACTTCGCTGCCCCACGCGCAATATGCATGAACCCCCGCACGCATGAACGATAATGGATGGACGGCGCGTGTGCCCGCGCGGGCAACGCGCGGGCACGAACGACTGGCCCTCAATGACCGCCAACATTGGATGCCAATCGTACCCGTTCACATACATGAACGATACATTGAGCATACATGGGCCATTCAGCCCCCATTGAAGACACCCTGTTGCAGACCCCCTCTTTCACCCTCCAAGTTGTTGATGTTTTCTCGCGCAAGTCCCACGCCAAGGTTGGCATTCCATCTTCCAAGCCCAGCGCCCGCCATTGCTGCAGCGCTGGCCTCCGTAACTTGCACACGTGCATGCTGCTCTTTGTCTTCGTGCAGTGGTCTCAGTACACCATCGCGACGCATGTCTACACTCGTGTTGCCAAGCCTCCTCTTCGACAACGTCTCCTGGACATCGGCGCCCAGCAGTACCTCATTTCACCACGATTGCAGGCATGGAATCAGAAAGCAGCCGAAGTAGCAGAAGTGATGGCGGACGCAGACAACATTCACCACATCAACGACGGAGAGCAACGGACACTAGTCAAAAAAGAGTCGCAGCGGAGGAGAGGGTCGAACACGCAGTGACCGCAAAGATCGGCATCGTGGCAGGCGCCCTGACCAGCAGAACGCGATGGGCATTCAGAACATCGGGCTGACTGTCAGGAACGAGACAAACACTTTCATCGTAAACAAGCAGGTCGGGACCGCGGGCCCAGTAGAAGAACTGGACCTTCATCTGGCAGAACGGACCACCTTTTCAACAATGAGGTCCATGGCGAGACCCAAATGCTCACCGTCCCGCCGAACATGCTGGGGCTAGTGGTGGCCTCGCCGTTGCAGCAGCTCCTCGGCAATATGTTGTCTCCCTTCGTGGAGTCCAGTGGCTTGAAGCTGCAGCTACGTCCCCTTCCCAACCTGGGCCAAGTGGTCCTGCTGTCCCTGCCAAAGCTCATGCCGACGTGGAAGGCATGCCCATGCCCCCCTGAGCTCGCTCCGCACCCTCCTGCTGATCTACAATTTGGCTGCACTGCGGGAAGCAAGAACAGATTGCACCAGCGACGGCGCAGCTCACTGACACAGCGAACCTCCTCATAAGGGAGCAGCAGCAACAGCTGGCTTTCAACTGCCAGGTGCAGGAACCCCGCCAGCACTGCAGGCAGAACATTGCGCACCTTGAGCCGCATGGCCGCAGCATACATGATTTGCAAGAACGAGCACACAAAGCCGAAGCTGATCAACAACGAACGCGGGCACACATCGCATCAATGGACGCTACCCTGTCTATGGCAGAGGCACCAACACCCTTTGACTTACAACGGATGGCAGACGGGAACGAGCGACAGACCCCACCAGGTTCAGCAATGGAGCGCCCCGTGCGATCGTATTGCAGTCGGCGTGTGTTGTTCGGGATCAGTGGATTACTGTTTATGGCGCTCTTCCTGGCCAAGACGGCTAAACGGTGACACCCCACAGCTCATAGTATACTTACAAGTGTTGGGTGGAACAAGTTGTTGGATGGCCTTATCGAAAGCACTTCGTACCACAGCAGGGCCACAAGACACAGCTGGAGCATAAACACCCGTCTTCGTTGACACAAACAAGGGCCCCGAATAAGGATGATTGGAATGTGAAACGAAGCGTTTGCAGAGCATCACCCAAGAGAAACATGTTGGATACACGATTGAAGCCCAATGACCGAGAGGTGCCATCATTATTGGCACTTTTTCTTTTTCGTGGTGGCCGAAATCCAAGGTGCAGAGGAGCCATCGAGTCTCCATTGGGGTGGAGCAGAACTTACGAAGTTTCCCATGCACAAGACTTTTTGGCGGAGGCGTTTAGCAAGGCATTCGCGAGGTGGTCGTCGTGGAGCGCAGCGCCTTCGGGTACATGCGACATGCGGTATGGTCGCCAGCTGGAACGCTGGAAGCCCCGTGCGCTACAGACCGTTCAGGCGCGAAGCCCAAATCCAACAAGCTCGCGACGCTCATTAGAAGAAAAGCTGACATTTGGATCCAAGGATGCCGCTGGAGCCAAGACATGCACGAGGACACGGTCGCATCCTACCAGTGCCCACACAAGGTGTTCTGCATCCACGCCCCGCGTATTTCTGGCGGCATTGCCGTCCACATTCCGCAAGATCAGCGACGTGAGGGTAATCTAGAAATTCCATGTTCACTTGAAAAGTTCAATCATTGGCGCATCGCTTTGCCCCCGATTACGAACCAGAAGGGCGACGTCACATACCGTGGCCATGTTCGCTGCGCACACCGTCGGGATCGATGCAGGGCGCCAGAGTTCGATTCAGAATCGCTGGGGGAACTTGGTACGCTGGAATCGTGAGGACTCGCCGCGTGGGGTCATTTTCGCAGCTGGTGGCTGGTGGTTTCAACGCACGCGCTGGGATCCTGGCTCCCCCATGGCTCTCTCATGCCTCCCTCATGGTTCCCTCATGGCTCCCCAATGGCTCCACCGTGGTTCCCCATGGCTCCTGCACGGCTCCCGCATGGTTCCTTCGTGACTCCCTCATGGGTCCCTCATGTCTCCCCTATGTCTCCCTCATGGCTTCCTCATGATTCCTTCATGGCTCCCGCATCGCTCCCGCACGGCTCCCTCATGGCTCCCTCACGGCTCCTTCATGGTTCCCTCATGTTTTCTTCATGGCTCCCCAATGGCTAAATCGTGGTTCCCTCATGGCTCCCGCACGGCTCCCTCATGGTTCTCTCGTGACTCCCTCATGGGTCCCTCAGGTCTCCCCCATGTCTCCCTCATGGCTTCCTCAGGATTCCTTCATGGCTGCCCCATCGCTCCCGCACGGCTCCCTCATGGCTCCCTCACGGCTCCCTCATGGCTCCTTTCTGGTTCATTGATGGCTCCTGCATGACTTCCTCGTGGCAGCTCCCTCGTGAATCCCGCGTGGCTTCCCCGGTAGCCTTTCGGCAGCTTTTCGGCCGCCGTGAGGCCCCCCAGAAGGCCCCCAGGAGGCCTCCAGACTGCCTCGTCCACAGTCCAAGTCTGCTCCTCCTCCTCCTCCTCCCCCCTCTCCTCCTGAGTGCCACCCGCCGGCCTGGATGCAGCCTGAACGCCACCACACTGAAAACCAAGCACAACAGCACACAACGCTTCGGACGAATACCCTTGGGCCGATGGCAATCCCAGAAGTTCTCCCGGCATTAACATGTTGCCCCCATCTTGTGGTGTTGGGTTCTCGTGATGGAGAGAGCACCCCGCGTTCCTCATCCTCCTCCGCCTCCTCCGCCTCCGCCTCCTCCTCCTCCTCCTCCTCCTCCTCCTCCTCCTCCCGCTGCCTCCCTCCCCCTCCTCCTCTCATCCTCATCATCACCAGCAGCATCAGCATCAGCATCACCAGCATCATCATCATAATCATCATCAGCAGCAGCATCAGCATCATCAGCATCAGCATCATCATAATAATCATCATCATCCTCCTCATCATCATCATCAGCAGCAGCAGCATCATCGTCATAAGCATCATCAGCATCATCAGCATCACCAGCATCATCATAATACTCATCATCAGCATTATCATCAGCATCATCATCAGAATCATCATCATCAGCATCATCATCATCAGTATCATCAGCATATTCGACATCATCAGCAGCAGCAGCATCAGCATCAGCATCAGCATTAGCATCAGCATCAGCATCAGCATCAGCATCGTCAGCATCGCCATCCGCCTCATCGTCATCCGCATGGCGGCAGCGCCCCATTTTTGCACACCCCTCACACGCGTCGTGACCCCATAGGGAGCTCCACCGAAGGCACCAGTGGCACAGTTCGCATGCGGTTCCCCCCCCATTTCGGCACACCCTACGCACGGTTCGTGGCCCCATCAGGAGCTCCGCGGAAGGCTTCAGAGGCCAAGTTCGCATGCGGTACCCCGCCCAATTCGGCACAGCCGTCACGCGGTTTGTGGCCCCATAGGGAGTTCCGCCGAAGGTTTCAGTGGCGAAGTTCGCACGCAGTTCCCCGCCCATTTCGGCACACCCCTCACACGGCTCGTGGCCCCGTAAGAAGTTCCGCCGAAGGCCTCAGTGGCAAAGTTCGCATACGGATCCCCACCAAATTCGGCACACCCTTCACACGGTCCGTGGCCCCATAGGGAGCTGCACCGAAGGCCTCAGTGGCAAAGTTCGCATGCGGTTCCTCGCCCATTTCGGCACACCCTTCACAGGGCTCGTGGCCCCATAGGGAGCTCCGCCGAAGGCCTCAGTGGCAAAGTTCGCATCCGGTTCCCCGCCCACTTCGGCACACCCCTCATACGGTTCGTGGCCCCACAGGGAGCTCCGCCGAAGGCTTCAGAGGCCAAGTTCGCATGCGGTACCCCGCCCAATTCGGCACAGCCGTCACGCGGTTTGTGGCCCCATAGAGAGTTCCACCGAAGGTTTCAGTGGCACAGTTCGCACGCGGTTCCCCGCCCATTTCAGCACACCCCTCACACGGTTCGTGACCCCACAGGGAGTTCCGCCGAAGGCCTCAGTGGCAAAGTTCGCATGCGGTTCCCCGCCCATTTCGGCACACCTTTCACACGGTTCGTTCATGGCCACTGGAAGGCCCGTCGAAAGATGGACCCAGAACGCGGTATCCACATTTGCTTATGGTCGGGTCCTTCGTCAGGCTACCTAATTGTTTGAGATGTTTCTTGCCGCTTCTGCTGAGACCGCAAGTGGAAGCCTCCAGAGACCTCCAGCGCAAATCTGGAAAAACATTCAAAACCGCCCAGGCCTGCAGACAGTCTGGCGCCCCTCCTCCTCCTCGTCCTCCTCCTCCTCCTCCTCCTCTTCCTCCTGCTCCCCCTCCTCCTCCTCCTTCTCCATCTCCTCCTCCTCCTCCTCCTCCTTCTCCTCCTCCATCTCCTCCTCCTCCTCCTGCTCCTCCTCCTCCCCCCCCTCCTCCTCCTCCTTCTCATCCTCATCCTCCTCCTCATCGTCCTCATCCTTCTCCTCCGTCTCATCCTTCTCCTCTTCCTCCTCATCCTCCTCCTCCTCTTCCTGCCCGCCCTTCGGAACCAGGGGCTACGCCCCCTGGGGCTGCTCAGGGCAGGGTTCCAAGGGAGCCTTCTGCGGCGGGCCCCCCCGCTCGATCGCGCTTGGCAGGGAGCCCTGGGCAGGCCTGTGCGAACGCGGGGCCCGCGCCCACATGTCCCGCAGAGGCACCGTCCCCTGCCGCATCCGGTCGGCCGCCGCTCTCGGGATCCACCCCCGGCGCGCGCGTTTGTTCTCTCTCTGGATGCGGCAATAATCGCTCCCCCCCCCCTTGGATCCGCGGGGGGGGCGCACGCGATGTCGGAACGGGCGGAGGGCGGGTGGAAGCAGAGGAGGGGGAGAAGGAGGAGGAGAAGGCCACCATCACCACCACTGCCATTATCATCAGCAGCATCATCAGCAGCAGCATCACCGTCATCGTCAGCGTCATCATCAGCGTCATTATCATCAGCAGCATTAGCATCATCATTATCATCATCAGCAGCATCATCACTATCAGCATCAGCATCGCCATCGTCATCGGCATCATAATCATACTCCGCATCAGCAGCAGCAGCATCATCATCACTACCACCACCAACATCACCATCAGCATCATCAGCATCGGCATCAGCATCAACAGCATAATCGTCATGGTCATCATCGCCATCACTCCCATCACCATCACCATCATCATCACCACCACCAGCATCAACATCCTCATCATCACCATCTGTATCAGCACCGCCTTCCCCCTCCTCCTTCTCCTCCTCTCTCCTCTCTCCTTTCTCCTCTCTCGCCTCTCTCCTCTCTCCTCTCTCCTCTCCTCTCCTCTCCTCCTCCTCCTCCTCCTCCTCCTCCTCCTCCTCCTCCTCCTCCTCTTCCTCCTCTTCCTCCGCCTTCTCCTCCCCATTCTCCTGCTCCTCCTCCTCCTCCTCCTCCGTCCCCTCTCCCTCCTCTTCCTCCTCGTCCTCCTCGTCCTCCCCGTCCTCCTCCTCCTGATCCTCTCCATCCCCCAACCCCCGAAAACACCTCAAGAGAGCACCCCCGAGCACTTTATACGCCTCCTAAATAGATTTCTCGTCCTCTTCCTGCTGCTCCTCCTCCTGCTGCTGCTCCTCCTGCTGCTGCTGCTCCTCCTGTTTCTCCTCCTCCTTCTCCTCCTCCTCCTCCTTGTCCTCCTCCTCCTTCTCCCTCATCCTCTTCCTCCTGCCATCCTCCCCCCTCATCCTCCCTCCTCCTCGGCCTCCTCCTCCTCCGTGGCCATGTTGGATCAAGCCATTTTGGCTCAAGCACAGGCTCGAGGATTGTCCGTAGCATGTTTTCTCTCGGATGGGGCCTCAGCGAGTCCGAGCCCTGCGCCGTCAAGGGGCCCGCGGGGGGAGACGTGGCAGCCGCACGCAGTACTGCAGTTTCACGCGTGAAGCAGGGCGAGTGCGACTTCGGCTTAACACTGCAGCTTCACCTGTCAAACTTTGGAGATTTTCGCTGGGGCCCTCTTCAGCTAGCCGTCCTTTGGTTATGGCAGTCTCGTGCTGCTGTTCTGTTGATTCCTCCCCATGGTCCTCGGGTGTCTGTTCTGCCGTGCAGGGGAGGATCCGGGGGTGCCCTGTCAGTATGTCCTAAAGGCTTATGTTGTTGCCTGTTTCACACATCTCCTCCTCCTCCTCCTCCTCCTCCTCCTCCTCCTCCTCCTCCTCCTCCTCCTCCTCCTCCTGGGTATGTATCTCAAATCTTTGGGTGCAACCGCTGGGCCTTATTTCAAACATTGCTTCCTTTGTTACCATGGCAGTAAACGTTGGTGCTGTTTCGTTTCTCTCCCCACTGAGAGGAACGAAGAATGGCATAAACATACAAACTCGGAGGTCCTCGCGGATTTCTGGGATCCGCGCTGGAACCCCTTGGCGGCGCCTCCGGCGGCGCCCCTGGCGCGCTCCGCGCGTCAGGGGGGCCAACGCCGATAAGAGAAATCTGCGCGGACCTCCGAGTTGTTATGCTCATGCTATGTTTAGTTCCCCTACCCATGGCTTTCGGGTTCCTATTATACCGTGCCGGGGAGAAGACCTGGAGTGCCCAGGGCTGCTTGGATGTTGGGTTGGTTGGTTGTTTGTTCGTGTTCATTCGGAGTTTAACGACATTGTCCTCGCGTGCTTGAGCATGGCGCAATGGTTTTCTGTCTACGAACCGTGCTTTGTGTCACGCTCGTACAATCAATTGCGTGGGTCTCGTCATTTTTGGTGGATCGGGAGGTGTTTTCTGCGATGTGGATGTGGCGCCGCGGTCGCCGCACATTCCTCAGCTGTCTGCGTGGGTTGCATCTTCCTCGTTCTATCAGTCGTTGCGTGTTTCTCACATAATTCAAATTGTATCCGCTGTTAGTGGCTTGGCTTGGAAGGAGCGAACATCCTCATGGTGGAGGGACTCCGATTACGATATCACGTTGTTTTCGTCGTTTTCCGCAGCTTTCTCGGCTGGCTCCACAGGTGGGCCTCCTGTTCTTCGTCGCCGCGGTGCTCATCGAGTTCAGGGGGTGGCGTGCTACTTCATATCACTCCTGTGATTTCGGTAACCCTGGTAATCCTCCTCCTGATCATCTCCTCCTCCTCCGCGTCATCATCATCATCATCATCATCAGCAGCAGCAGCATCATCATCAGCAGCAGCATCAGCATCAGCATCAGCATCAGCATCATCATCAGCTCCTCCTCCTCCTCATCATCATCATCATAATCAGAACCATCAGCACCTGAATCGTTTCCTCTTCTCCATCCTCCACGGCAGTACCCGCTGGAGTGCCCGCCGCGCCATGTGTCCAGCGACCGCCTCCCTATGCCCGTCGGCCACCCGACGAGGTGCTTCGGCCGGGCGACAACGTCCAGGTGGAGTACGCCGGGACGCAGGGGGAGGAGCGGGCCGCCTTGAATGCCTTGTGGGCCCGCGGAGGAGGAGCACGTCTCGTTTTCGCTGTGAGTCTTCTGCCCCATCGCTTGGTGTTGCTCCCGGTGTACAGGGCCAGGAGTCGGCCCCAAAGGCAACAACCAAACGAGGAGCGGGAGGCACCCCACAATTGGCAGATGTTATGGGATGCGAGGAACTTATTTGCCCCAGACGATGGCGTAGCGTAGAAACGCGTTGGGATGTGTCAATCGCTTGTTTTGTTCATCGCTCTCTTTTCTCTCTATATATACGTGTGTGTAAATACATTTGCACGCATTTTAGATAAATCTTGTATCGTCCGCCCCACGTCTCTCTGGATCTGCATGTGTCTACAGCATATGTCCAGTATATCCCTTTCGTTCTTTCTAGGGAGAGATGTATGTATGTGCTTATAGTTTGGCCCCCTCCCTTTAGATAGATATATATATATATATATGAGACACCTGCGCCGATGTACAAGCACATACCGGTGTGTCATCAACGCACTCTTCTGTCGCGGTGCAAGGGGCAAGCCGACGAAGGAGAAAGGGGGGCGCTAGCAGGGTAGGTGGGGTTGAGAAGTTTGGATAGTTTGCAAGTGGGATGGGGGAGGCGGGCAACACTTTGGAGTGGGAGAAGGGGGACGGGGAGGATTTTTGGGCGTCGCCGCCATCTTCTCCTGTTCGTTCTCCCTTTCCCGATTCCGTCCCTTCCTTCACCGTCCCCTCTCGTGCTAGGCAACTCTTCCTCGTCGCACCACCAGGCGTGTCGGTAGGGCGAGCCAGAAGCTTCTCCAGATGAATCTGATCGATGCCTGATCCCAACGCTTGACAACCTCAAAGGATGGGGGGGCGTACGGCTTTCGGAATGTGGCTCTCGCCGAGAAGCCGCGCACATCCCTAGGGTTCCAACAGCAGCACGGCTGGATGGTGAGTGGTTTTCAGAGAGCGGCTCTCGTGTTCTTATTGCGCGCTTTGATATAACAAGTCACCTCAGCGCCGCGCACATGTGCATCAAAAGCCAGCAAGAAAAATCACCCAGATGGAGGACCGTCGATGTCCGAGATGTGGTTTTCGTTTGCGTGCCGCGCGCATCCGAATTGCCACAAGCCATACGGATAAAGCACAGGTGGTGTTCCAACATGATTATTATTTCTGCACCGCGTACATCCGTCTTCAAAGTTTCCAACAGCTGCACGGCTGGCGGGCGGGTCGTCGTCACAACATTGCTACCGCGTGATACTCGAGACCTTTGCTGTCTTACGTTCCGACCGAGCAGCAAAGAAGGTGGGGGCGGCCCCATTCGATCATGCAAATAGCCTCCAGCCTCGTGGCACGATCAGGTAAAGCTTGAACTGTCCAGCAGCTACACGGACTGAGGGTGACTACGTTTACAAAATGTTATTATCGCTCTGTCGCGGCACACATGCTCAAGCTCCTCGCACTTGCATGCGTGGTGCGCGGTTCCCTTCTCGAGCCGAGCGCGTGCTTCCAAGCGTCTGCTGCCGAAGTTGCACACATGGCGGACTCCAGAAGCCCTGAATCCAAGAGCGTCGACGTCTCACTGTTTTACGTCCGCTGGCAGACCTGCCGACGTTTCCCTTCCGCCGCCTTCTCCAAACATCCGACGCGTTTTTTTTCTCAGCGCTCCCCCGAGGTCTGGACCTCTTCCCCTGGACGGGTTTCATCCCGGGTCGTGCCTTGCTGTCCCTGGGGCGGGTGAGGGCCCCTGGAAGCGGATCAGGATGGAAAGCCGACTTGGGGGAAAGGATCGGGATTTCCGGGAGGCCAGATTGGAAAAATCTAGGCATCGGGATTCTGGGTCAGGACAGCGACGGTCGCGCGCGCTGGGCTCACCTCTTGGCCCTGCTCCTTCCAGTTGCGGCCGGACCGAGGTATAAGGTCGAGGTCGGTTCGGGGAGGGTGCCCTATTGCTCTTCGTGATTGTTGGATGTTCTTGTGCATCCTGGAGGAGAGCACCCTCGAATGTTCTTCAGTTTGGGCTGGAGGAGGGTCTCATGTTCTTGCGGGGTGCTCTTCTGTCCTAGGTCCGAACGTAATCCTCCTCCCGGGCACTAGCTTTGGCAACCGCGCCGCCCGTTCAGTCCCTCCTGTTCTTCATGCGTTTGGTGACAGTGCGGGGTCCGTTCGCTGTGCCGGCTGAGGTGGGGTAACTCAAGGCGTGAGCTCCGCCACAGTAAGAATTGTAGGCGCGTGATCTGTTGTGTTGGCCAGCGTGGGCCCCAAACAGTGTATGTTTCGGAGTATATGTAGTGCCATATATGTGGTGCACTCCGTATGGTACAATCGATGTGGTGCAGTATAGATGTGATGCAATCTATGTTGTGAACTCTACGCTGTGGAACACATGTTGTGCAATGTGTGTTGTGCTATCTATGTTGTGCAATCGATGCGGTGCAGCTTATGTGGTGCAAGATCTGTCATACAATCTAGGTTGTGCAGTATATGTGGTGTAATATGTGCTGAGCAACGGACGTGGCTCACTACATATATATATATATATACATGATCCACACATATCTATATGACAATGTGTTGTGCACTCCTGCGTGGTGCAATAGGTGTTGTACAGCTCATGTGGTGCAAGCCATGTGATGCAACATATGCGGTGCAATGCATGTGATGTAGTATACGTGGCTCTGTGTTTCGCCATCTAGGGCGGGGCGGCGGCGACATGGCGGCCAGAGCGCCAGACGGGCCCAGACGACAGGTGGCGACGAAGCGTCGGCATGGCCGCCAGGCCGACCGTCAGGCCCAGTGTCTTAAGTGTAACCATTGTTTGGAGAATGAATGTGTGTGTGTCTATGTATATATATATATATATAATAAAAATTTAAATAAAAAACAAAAAACAAAAAACTGGGGGGCAGGCCCGGTGCCCACAAACAGCTGCCCCGATCCCCCATGGGAGGACGGGGCGGCCGGGGAGATCCAAAATAGTCCAGGAGGGCCTCCAGAGGTTCCCCAGCCGGCCCAAGCGGGCCCCGAGTCGCCGAAAGACCGCTCCAGGACGCCCAAGATAGGCCCAGGACGGCCCGAGAAGACCCCCAAGGCACTCCACGACGCTTCAAGAAGACGCCTCTCCCGAGCGCTTCAAGAGACCACAATCGTCAATTTTGCGAGGGTTTTGGAGAGATGTTGGCCTGCCAGCCTTTTCGGCTGTCCGACGTCCCAGGCCGGCTCCATAGGCCCCCAAGAGCGCCCCAAGACGGCCCATGAGGGCCCCCAGACGGCCCCAGAGGCGCCCAAGAGAGCCCCAAGACGGCCCCAAGATGCGCCCAAAAGGGGGACCACGACTCCAAAAGTCGACCCTCCCGCTTGAAGAGTGTCCCAGGAGGCCCCAAGGAGCCCCCCAGAGGCCCCAGGAGGCCCCCGAGAGGAACCCATGAGACCCAAACAAAGCCTCAAGAGGCCACAAAACAGCCCCGAGGAGGCCCCACAACGGTCCCAAAACGGCTACCGAGAAGCTGCGAAATTGCCTTCACGACGTCCCCGACAGGCCAACCACGAGATCCAAACCAACACCCATGAGGCCTCTGACCCACCACCTAGGGCACCCGCCGCCCGCCCGCCGTCCGCGTAGCACGCACCACTCTGTACTCAACAGCTTCAGTCTCCAAGACAACACCCTGTAGTCAACAGCCCCGTCTTCAAGGCAACACCCTGTACTCAACAAGCTCCCGCTGCAAGAGAGCACCCTTAAGGAATTCATTCAAATCCCGACCCGCCCGCCCGCCCGCCACCCGCCCGCCCGCCCGGCGCCCGCCCGGCCGCTCGCCCGCCTTCCGCGTAGCACGCGCCACCCTGTACTCAACAGCCTCCGCCTCCAAGACAACACCTAGCATTCAACAGCCCCCAGGGCTCCCGGGACTGCCCGGGCCCGCTCCCAAACACGCACGACACGCCAAGAGGGCCCTAAAGATTGCCAAGACAGCCCCAAGAGGCCCCGGACACGCCGAAGATGGCCTCAGGACGGCCGACGACGCCGCCACAACGCCCCAAGAGCGCCTCCAGAGGCCCCTCCAAATCGCCCCGCATTTTTGCGCTCTCGCATGTTCCGCCTCCCCACGGTCCCGGACGGCGTCAGAGGCCCTTCAGATCGCTCCAAGACGGCCGAAGAGGCTCCCAAGGAAAGACCAGAGACGGCCCAGGAGGCTCCCCAGATAATTCAAGAGGGCCTCGAGAGCGCCCCAAGAGAGCCCCAAGAGCGATCCAAGAAGGCCCGAAGAGCGCGACATGTCAAGGTCTCCGGCCTGAGAGGCTCCTAGGACGCCCCCGGAGGCCATCAAGAGGCTCCCAAGAAGCCCCGTGAGGCTCCCAAGAGGGCCCCCCGGAAGCCCCAATAAGCCCCCATGCGGCCCCCAAGAGACCTCGGTAAATCGTATTTCCCAGAGCTTTCCGGGAGCATGATTCCTTGGGCTTCCGCCCACCGCCCCAACAATGTTTACAACAGACTTGCCGACAAGGCCAAAAAGAGCTCCTCGGTAAGCCCCCAGAGCCCTAGAGAGCAGAACAAATCATGCTCCCGGAAAGCTTCCTGGGAACATGATTCTCGGGTTGCCGCCCTCTCCCCAAACCAGGATAAAAAAAACGAGAGTCCCAAGCAGCGCTACCTGCCGCCACGCTCGGAGACGCGTCAGGCCCCGAAGCCTCCGGAGGCGCCCAACGACACCCCAACCAATCATGTCCCCAGGAAGTCTTACGGCCAGTGCCGCCGACGTTGAAGGAGGACGGTCCAGGACACCCAGAAATCTTCCAAACAGGCTTCCAATAGGGCGCCGAGACCCCAACACAGACGAAAAGGGCCGCAAGAGGCCCCGAAACGAGGACATACCGTTCGAACACGCCCAAGATGGCCTCCGGACGGCCCACAAGGCTTCCAACACGGCCCAAAGGGACGCCAAAATCATTGATTGTCCCTAGGTTTTGATGGATTTCAGACACCCAATGTCGCCCCAACAGGCTCCCAC